ATACTATGGCGGAATTCGTTTCTCTCGCGCCCTCCTATCTTCTGCCTTACTATTTTGTCTATTTTATCGCGCAACTATTTTCGCACAAACACGTCATCCCACATTCAAACACTATACACATACATACAAACGCGCTCACATGCGCTTGTACGCTCGCTTGCCCTACCCCACTCTGACAACCCCATAACCCAGTGCCCCATTTAGTGATAGTGTAGTACGGAGAATAGGCTGCCATCGGGCGAGCGAGCTTGTTTTATTTTGGGTCCGAACAGCGGCACTCCAACAAAACTAAAACGAACCGCCGCGAACCACTACGACGATAAAGAAGCTTTTTCTCATTCTTTGTGAGCAGCAAAACTAAAATTTAACCTTGAAAATAGCAAACATCGAAATATACGAGCATTTGACGTTGAGTGCAAACAAATGGAACGCACACCAACAAACACACTCGCATGACAGCCATGCCGGCATAGTAAAGATATATGTACGTACGTATACGATTTCTATGTTTGTTTGTGTGTGTGGTGCTATTTCTAGGTAGCTGGGCGACACTGGGATATGAGCGTACAAACAACCGCCGTCAAACATCCAATAACAACACCAATAGCATAGAAACACAACTAACCATAAATTCTACCAGAACACAGTCGTCTGTGTGCGAGTGCGGGTGTGTGTTGCGGCTGTACCCCGCGCATGCTTTCCCTGCAGCTTTTCGAGAATGGCAAAATGTTTGGAACTATTCTCATAGTTATTAATATGTATGGGTGTGTAAGCATTTTCTATACCTATCTGCGTCTATAAACTTCTCTGGTTCTTTGTTCTGCTGCTGCATTCACATTGGTTCTGGTGGATTTATGATTATTAGTTCCGAACCCGAACCCTGAATTGATATTAGATATTACTATCTAACCAACACTTTCAAGTCGCGTGTTTAGACCCCCCTAATAGATATCTTATTTCAGACTTAAGCTCTATTTTCTCTCCACTGTCGTTAAAACTAAAATATGCTTGATTGAATGGTAAGTTTTTAAAAATTTGCTTTCTGTGAGCTAAATTGTAGATAGATCGAAGCAGTATAGATCACTCGGCAGATATTCGGTTTGTAAATTATTCGTACAGATTATTAATTGGAGAATAATCACGAATTAGGCTTGAATTTAATATACTTTCGGAAATTCTCTCATAATGATCAGATCTATCAGCTGTCCCATTTCGATGAAGATAAATCCATTAGATTAGGAATTTCAGTTACATCTTTTGTTCCGTTCATACTTCAAATTGGCAAAGTCAGCCAGTGCGATTTATGTACTGTTATTTTAGAAGAACTATTTTAAGCCCATAACGCATATATATACGTAAACATATAATATATAAACCTAAATTTATATATAAATTTGTTTCTGCTGCATTATTGGTCTATCTTAGTCAACGCAGATGTTTGGTGCGATGAGCCAAGCATTGAAATTCACTTATGAAACAATCCAACTCCGCGTCCGCTCTGCCCTCGCGCCCACTCCGCGAACACATCGATCGCTGCTTCTTTTAACGCGAAGTATAACTCTTTTGACAGCTAACATTTTTGTTGTACTTGTAGTCGATTTTGTGTTTGTGACTATGTGTGTTTTTTGTTGTTGTTTTGTTTGTTCTCGAATCACATGCAAAATGCTTTTCACTTCACTGCTACGGCAAATGCCGCACAGCAAACCAAACTGTTGTATGTGTGAGAAAAAATTCTCAGCTGCTCGCTGTGTGAACTATGCGGAATAGCTGCAAGTGAATGTTGTTGTTGTTGCTTTTTATTTACTGTTTTACTCGTTTTTTGCATATAATGCCTTTTTGCCAAAATTTCGGACAGTTCTCACACATGCAATAGAACACATGAAATAGTACCCGAACGCCACCGGTAAGAGGAGTAGCCATAGATATGACTGCCACCAATACACCCACCTCATCCTCATATCCATGTACAAACGCCGTGTGTGTGTGCGTGTGTGAGCAGCACACTGGCACGCAACGTGTGCGATTTCACAGCGAAATGCAGAATTCTAACACACTGACCGACTAATCGAAAGCAGACACAACAACAAGCAGAACAAGCGGCTTTAGCCGAGCAAAATAAAAATACTGCATTAATATTAGGGAGAGATCGGTTAGCAAAAGCCTAGAGCAAACGGGTATTGCTGTTGGCGGTGCAGCGCGCGGGGTTCACTATGGCAGCGACGACAGCGGCAAATACTAAGCAGCCAACAACACCCTCATGGCAGCGACGACGCGTATGCCTGCCTCCAAATGCCATTGTTGTGCGTTTGCTGTGTGCTGCCGTGGCTGGCGTAGCCGCGCGTTTTTGTTGAAGCTTCGTTGCCGATCGGGACGCGCTCGAGCGCTCGAACTCTCGATTCCCAGAACCTCCTCCTGTCCGCCGCACCGCTGTGCATGTATTTTTTGGATAGTTTTTTGGCAATTGCCTAATGCGCTTTTAACGTCGCTAGTCGGGCCAGAAGTAGCAGCAAAAGCAGCAGCCGCACAAGCAACAGTTGAATTTTGTTGTCGCGCGTACTTTGTTGGTCACAATCGGTACGGTCGGTCGGTCGGTCGGTCGCTCGCTAGAACAATTCAACGCGTATCCCTGTTTCAAATCAAACAACTCTAGATAATTCTAAAATAATTGTGAAAACTAAACAAACTCTCACTTGAAGGAAGCAACTCGTAAATAGCTTTGAAAAAGTGAAATTACTCTTGTGAATAGCAACTACGCATTCGTTTTGATGCTTTTTTTAAACTGAATAAGTGAAACAATTAAAAGGCTTAAAACAAAAGTGAATAGTTCTGCATATTTTTCGCAAGAAAAGTTCAAGATCTTTATATTGAACTATGCCTAGTGCATTTATGCATTTTTGACCTCTGAAAACCAAGGGTAACTCTGAATCGCTCAGCAGTGCCTCGAATATATGTGTGTAGTTCGTGCTACTTGCAGTGCTAGCAGCAAAAAATATGTTTTTTAATTTTATAAATGTTTTAAAATTCAAATTGAAAACAACAATCACAACATTTTGTTTTCGGTAATTACAGTTAGTAGTCGCAGTAATCGTCGGTCGCGTTCTTAAGTGTTCGGTAGTGTATTACTTTCAACCGTACCTCGGTTCGCCAATATTGGCTGCCACCAAAAGCTTCTACAGCAGTCAGGTAGGCAAAATTCTACGATGGCTCCACTTAATTAGAAAACTAACTTCATTTACATATATACTGAGTCAAATTGCATGAAGCTTTGCATTGAGGCAATAATTTTCTTATATGTTATTTTATTTACTGAGAACTGTTTGGATACAAAATACAAAAAAACCCACTTAAGTCGACTCATTATAAGTCCCTGATCGGTCATACAACCGAGAAGACTTTCCATTACGTATTTTTCTGAATTAAACTTTCCGCAGCAACTTTTGCTGTGACAAATCCACCAACACAAGTGCAGCGCAGCAAAAAGCCAGGCGAAAGAAAGAAAAGCATTACATTCTTTGCGCTCATCTTCTGACGCAGCGAAATATCAAGCGTTTTGTGCCAAACTGCGCGAGCAACCCACATCGTGCGCTCCCCCACTGCATTGCCTTGCGCACTCGCTTACGTATCGGCAAGCGCACAGCATTTGCTGCACTGCCAACACACGTGAAGTGAAGCGCTCAGCAAAAACTACTTGCTCACTCGCAGATAAAGAGCGCGTTCATATATGATTGTATCACATAGATACAAATAGCGATAGTTTACGTTTTGCAAGAGCACTTCGAAACGACGACTGGAGAGCTTTTTAGAAAGCTGCAGCAGCTTTGTTGCTTTTGCTTGGTTATCACCCGCATGTATGTATGTATGTATAGTTAGTTTGCTGTTTGTTTTAGTTTGGCAATTGAACGCTTTACTCGTTTTTCACTTCCAACATGTTAGTAGAGGTTCTTGTGTGTACTGCATACATGCAAACATATGTACATATATGGTAAAAAACTAATGCAAAACTTTATCTGAAACACAGCCGAATAAGAAAAATGGCTGCAATTTTGTGGCGTCTAAGCTTGGAGAAAACACTGCTCATCGCATTTCCAAGAAATTTGTTGACTATTTTTCATAAAAACCACTAATAGTCATCGCCGCGAAATAAATGGAAAGAAACTAAATACACTTAGAACCCATATGCTGATCAATCGCTGGCGAAATTTGTAGTCCAGAAATTATTTATAGTACTTGCCTGTATGTGTGCATGATATGTGTATGTGAAAGCTACAGCTTTTGCTGTGCAGCGATAAAATGTTGAATTTCTATAGAAATTAAAAAAATATATGAAATTTTCGAATATAAATCCGCATAAAACTTAAACGAAATGGCTGGCAATTCAGAAAACGCCCGAGATGCCAAGAGCAGCAGTACTAACCTTGAGTGTCAATAACCTCAGCTGGCCAACGCAAATAAAACTTGTTTGTTATGCCCATTAAAAGTGAATTTTAATTTGATTTTCTACGCGGCGAATGCATTGTTTGTTTATCAATTTGGGCGTTTTATAATCTGCGAGTCTATTTAAAGCCACTTGACGTGTGACACTTGCACACGAATCAGATGCGCTCGAAATAAATTGTTTCACACAAAAACAACTTCATTGAAATATGTAAACATTTTTCCCATCCCGGAGAGTCTATACGCCAAAGCTAAATTTTATGACCTTCGATTCGAAGCCGATTCTGAATCTAGAGTTGGATATCGTCTTCTTTGTAATATAAGTAAAGCTACCTACGTTCTTCCGTAAGCGCGCTTTAGTTGTTGTCTTACATGACACTCGCTTGCAAGTTGGCTCAACTGGTATTAAATGATGTGGCTCTTCTTGAGGCGGCTGGACGATGAAATTAGTCTTTTCAATAGACTCACAACTTTTTTTTGATAATTCTGAATATTTGACATTTTACAATGCATATCCTTCACTGTGCCCATTTTACTAATTGTATTTCCGTATTTTCTCTTTGCAGTTTATTTAAATTTATGAAAAATATATCTACACAAATATAAACATAAAACGCACATAACAAAGTAAACTTCCCAAATAGTCAAACTTAAGGGAAAGTACAAGCAAAAGCAAAACTTAAAGAAGGCGGTTCTAAACAACCATAAAAACAACAACATAATAACATAACATTACAATTACATCTACAACTACAACTGAAAGAAAACAACTGCAGTCAGTTGGAGAAAAATAATTAATTTCCAAATAACAGCAGTCACAGCAACAAGAACAACAACAACAGCATATCCATAAGAGTGAAAGCACGTCATTAGGGACGCTTTCAACAGCGTCAACGCAACACCCACACATACAAGGACACGGAAGCGGACATAGTCAAGCCAGCCGCGAAGATGGACGAAACACAGCATTTCTGTTTGCGCTGGAACAACTACCAAAGCAGCATAACGTCGGCGTTTGAGAATCTCCGCGACGATGAAGATTTCGTCGATGTGACACTGGCGTGCGAGGGGCGCAGCATCAAAGCGCATCGCGTCGTCCTGTCGGCGTGCAGTCCATATTTTCGCGATTTACTCAAGGTAAGTGGCAACAATGGCAAAAAGTCTATGTACTTACAGGTTAAGAGTTCCCACGGCATATACTGTGGATTATTTGAATTTGTATGTATATGATATTTGAGGCATACGAAATGTAATATAAGATATTTTTTTTCAAAACTTTTAACATCGGCGTCCGTTGGCGCTCACCGCTTTATCTTTCGAATTATTGTAGAAAAGAGCAGTTTTTGAAACTAAACTCGTGTTTTGAACCTCAGTGTATAGGAACCTAGGAATGTGAATAGTTATGAGTTCACCGTAATGGGAACGATTCGAGGTGTAATGACTTTCAAAAGGGGTCTAATATGAAATAAGGCCACTTGAACAAGAGCAGTTCATAATTATATGATTCTCTTATATTTCTAATCTTCTTAAGCGATCAGATGAAGTATAAAATTAGAAAGTCTAACGCATGAAAACAAAGTTGATACTTTGTCTTGATATATCGGTTGGCACAGTTTTCATCACAGTCAACGATAGCCGTCGATGGTTTCAACAAGCAATGACTACCTCACATACATTTTGTTTTCGAGGACACTTCGCACATAAAGTAAAAAATTTTATTAGTTAGTATATATGTATATATATATATGCATATACATGTATAAATATATGTATGTTGGGCAAATAGCAATGCGTTCATTTGCCATACAAAGGCACTTGCAAAGGAGAACGTGTAAAGAAATCGCAATATTAAAATAAAGCAAAAGCGGCGATTGCATTACCTAATGACAGGGCCAAGTGGGGCGGGGAAAACGAAGACAGAAGCAAAGGCAAAACCACACTATCTTCGTTCATATGTATTCGCCAAAGGCTGTGCAAACATAAGAAACAGAAAATCACACATAAGACAAACTTGCGAGGGACAAGGGAAACGCATGTGTATATATGTATAAAGCGTAAATTGCAATTTTTTATCGTTTTATGAGTAGAAAATGCGATAAAAAGTAGATGGCAGAAATATAGTGCGAAAATGCAAGGGCAGAATACAAACTGGCTCACCCTGAATATCGCGAATGAGAGGAAACACCTTAAACAGAAGAGAGCAAATCGGTCGAAGATCAGTCGCACAAAAACGATGGTGAAGAGAAAACAAAAAAAAAAAAAGAAAAGCGAAGTTGGGAAGAATGTGGAGATGAAATAAAGAAGGAGCAGAGAAGAAGATGCGGCTGCAGTGACAAACCCTTTCGCCTACCCGACCCAGCCCCTCACCAGAAGCTGCAAGGAAAAAGCGCAGAGGATACATAATTATATAGGCGATTGCGGATTTCTGCTGCCTCTGCCACGACGATGTGACCTACTTATGTGCGTTGTGGCAGCGCTACGCGGTTGCTGGGAGACAATGAAAGCACATATCTGCAATAAAGTAATATGAGTATCTGTCGATTCGTATGTATGTACACTGATGCATATAACCGTAAACTTTCATCTGTATGTATGTTTGTGTGTGTGGCACTTGTACGGTTACTTATTTGAAAGTGACTCTAAAGTCGGTGCAAGACAGGTAAAATGTTGACTTATTATGCACACAAGCTATTTGTAAATTTCAAAAACAACGACAACAACAACAACCACAACAGGAACAATAAAAACACAATTAAACAATTGCTACAACACGCAACTGTGGCACATGCAACAGCGAGCTAGTAGCAGTCATACAAATCAAATCGACTGTATAAATGTTTGCTTGCTGCAACAACAAAAACGTGCAACCACAATAAAATGAAATTAGTCCGCAGTTTCAATTAAAATAACAAACTGCCTTTATCTGTGTTTGTGGCAAGTCACTTGAGTCCGTTGGGTGGTCTTCAAACTCGTTAAATGCATACAATCTGTCTACACAGTGCTTGCCACACCCAACCTGCAACGCCCAAATGCTTATGCGGCAGCAAAGTGAGCAATTCTGCATTTGAGTTGAATTTTAGAGCCAACTAATGTGTGTCTGTGTGTGAGGGTGAGCCATTTTGTCTGCAATGCACATGTGCGGCATGCAACCGCAATGTCGGAAATTTGCTAACGATTATTATTTGACGCTGATGGCAGCTCAGTGGCAAAAAGTTTCCGCTTTGTGTCATATTGTACGCTTGTACGTTGTTCTCTGCCTTTTTTGCTGGCTGCAGCGTTGCCAACACACATACACTTGTATGGAATGTTTGTAGGTGCCGCAACCTACCCCTTTTGTTTGCCTCAAAGCCACAATTGCGTGCACACTTCCGCAATCTATATTTGCAACAAACTGCATACCCCACTGACGCCGCTGCTCTCGCCGTCACATGCAGCCAACTTTGGTAGAGTTTAATGTCTCAATGCCGACGAATATTCAAAATGCATTAGGCACATCAAGACGCTCACTGCGGTGACTGTTAGTAGGCGGGGCGGCGGGACATGGTTTCTTGTTATTTCGCAAAGAGTTTGCCGAAGTTGTTGCTCGCTTTGTAACTGACGGTGGAAACGCAACTCGCAAATTCTTAGGCAAAACTGGCACTGAATCCTGTGGCAAGCAACAAGAGACTCCAGCTCCCAGTGGGTGACCCCGAAAATAGCAAAATATTCTTTTGCACTGTAAAACACAAATGCATGCAACAGACGTCGCCTCGAATACTTCCGCACAGAAAAAGTGTTTAGGGGAGAATGGGCGTAATAGAAATTATGCCGCATGCAGCGGCATGGTGGTCCTCTAAGCCACCAGCCATCAGCCATCCGCACCGCAACTACGGCAGTAATCACTATCATCAAACATTAGCTGGAAGCCACAAATAATAACAGTAATAATGAGCTCGCGAAATATTCGCCATGCCTGCGGCCCATTAGTGATGGCGCAGTGCCACACTTTGCCTGCAAATGCCACCGAGAGACAAGAAAATCACAGCAAACTTCTTGCAATTCGCCACACACGCCAACTGCCCACTTCGCCGCGCCGCGCCTCCATCCTCATATGTATGTGTGTGTTGCGTTATAATAAACAAAGAAGAACCGACTAAATAAATTTAATAGTTAACAAAAAATGCAACGGTACAAAATGCGACAACAAAGGCAACAACAAGAGTGGGGCGAGGAGTCTAGAGTAAAAGTGCGCTGCGAAATAATGGCACAGCGATGCAAATTAAGTAGAGTCACTGCAAAAATTACACAGAAAGCGACTAGAAATAAGGCGCAGCGGGGAACGGCGCAGGCTTCGCTAAATCACAAAACTTTGGCCTACAAGTGGCGAGTGGCGAGTGCCGTAGGGTGAGGATCGCTGCACGGAAATTTCAAATTTTAAATATATTCGTTTTATTAATTAGGTTGCCATTAAAGTTTGCTTTGCGCCACACAACAACAAAAACCACTAAAACTTCGGCAACCAATAGGGCAGGCAAATTCGTACATACACACACACACACATAAACACTAATGTATGTGCATTTGCATGAAGAACGCTTTTTGCAGAATATTTGAAAAAGAAAAATCGAAAACTATGCGGTTATACTCACACACACACACACACAGACGTACCATGTTAAAAGTTTTAGCAACAAACAAATTCTGCGGCGAAAGGTTATAACTAGCAAAGTGCTCGTCAATCCGGAACGTGGCGGCATGAACGCCGATAGGCGTACGAGTATCTGTCTTTGGCCATTTACCGTTTTGTCTAATGTGACGCAAACACACACACATACGTAAGGCATAGCCGCATTCGATTCGCATGCAACTTATAATGAATTGCTGAGTTATTTTTATTGCATAAACACATAAATACTTAACATAAGCAAGTATGCGCGTGTGTGTGTGCACGGAAGCTAGTCATTTCTACTGGGCGGCGCTGAAAAGCGTCGTGATATACATACGTACATAGCAATGAACAGAATTTTCAAAATGTTTGCAAAGAATTTAATAATGCAAAAGTTCGCCTGCAATAAAACTGATTTAATGACTCCGCGTGCGACTGCGAAGAAAAGCTCACAAACGCTGCTACAATGCGTTCACATTCACTTCCAACTTGATATTTGCACTGTACTAGCGTAGCATATGTATGCAAATTCGCTTGCAAAGTACTAGGTTTAATTAAATGAGCTAGATTTAGTTAAATTATTGCTCTCCAATAAAACTCACTTGCAAAATATTTATATAAGAGTGTTAGCTTGGCTTTAGTATATCGAAAGAATTGTACTGAAACCCTAATAAGTACGTTAAGTCGACGATTCATACGATTTCTTCATCCGAGTGCTGACTGGTTAGCCTTGACTGTAATCATATACCCTAAATCATTAAATTAGGAATTTGTAGAAAATTACTCATGCAAATGTGGTTTAATTTTAATTAGAAATCGCAGTTGGACGCCACTCGCCAAACTCGCCGTAACGGAACTTATCACAATAAATCAATTTAAGTTGTATAATAACGGTAAAAGTATTATACATGACACAATTGTCCAAAGTATCGCCAAGTTGACAATTTTGTTGCCAAGTTAATTATTCGCTTCAAATTAGATCTATGGCGGAGCGATTGAATGCAGAAGAAACTCAAAGAAAGAACTATACAAAGAAGCATGCACTAAATTGCTAAAAGTTTTGCATGTGCAAAATATAACAACAGCACAACTGCTGATTAACAACTCGTCGAAAAGTCGAAAAAAATTAAATAAATCAGCGCAAAAAAGTGTAGTCAATTGCTGTGTCAGCACTCAGGCCAGCGGCAGCCTGCCTACTTATGCAAAAATAGTGAAGCGAAGCGACGTGAAGAACACACTTTTTCAAATAAAAGCGAACAAGTCATGACACCGCACACGGACACACACACACACACACTCATACTAACGAATTGAAAGCACTACAAGTACTAAGAAATACTACAATATGAGAAGGGACAACATTTAATTTGCTAAATAGCAAAATAAATGCACAACAATTGCAGTAGAGAGAAGGGAGAGCAGGGCGCATAAGATTACAGGGTAGCGGCCGTATCTCGGACAATGGCAACAAAAGTAATGAACCCAGCCTTGGTAGGGAAAACTTTATTGGCACTACAAGCGGCAGCTTTTGCCATTTTTGTATTTACTATGCATTACCGTTATAAAAACAAACAAGCGACCAGAAACCGTTGCGCAGTGGAGCGCTTTTTGGAGCAACCACTGTCCTATGTGAATGTGCTTAGAACGCAGTAAATACGTACTCACTATTAGACAAATTTGTAACGATATTCTGTCGAGTTGTCCGCTTTGAGTGGCTTTGAGTAATATTTTGAAATATTCTTGTAATTCTGCTTTCATGACGGATTTTCTCTCATTTTGTCCCACTGTCACATTGGTCCACAACCAAATGACACCTCTGCTCAGCAGCACTGAGCGCTACAACATAACACGCTCTGCCGCCTGACGACGCATGGCAACCGGGGGTGAGTGGCGTTGGATTGAAGTGGCTAGAAAGTGGCTAAAGTATCCACTCGGTGCATAAATATTTAATTAACTGCTGCATTATTTTAATTAGGTTTAAACTGCAATACGGCAGCGCCGAGCCGCTGAGCACTGGCGCACCCAGCGAATAGGCGCAGGCAAATGGACGCACTTGTAGTGCAGCAATTTGGCATAAAAGCATTTGAACTAAAGCTCTAAAATGCACAAATACGAAATTATACAAAACGGCACAAAAACAGGCGCCAAACAATGGCCGTTGCAATAGTGGCACTTAAATAAGTCTCAAACACTCAGTCACACCCAACAACAAAGTGACGACTAACGGCGCACAAAGATGGCAGAAAGTTAGTTGAATTCATGTTGTTTCGTCGTGCGGCCCGCACTTCGTTTCGTTGTTTGTTTGATCATTTTTCATTTTATTTCTCGCCTTGTTTTAACTACAAATCCGCCTAGTTGGCCAATACAAACAAGCAAAACAAACTGAATTGTAAAGCGACACTTGGCCACATTTAATTCTATTATTTGGCTCGCCAAGAGAGCTGAGCTGAGCTGAGCCTTCAATATTTTCCGCTAATTTTCGCTGCTCTGAGGCTTCGCGCAAGAGGAAAATGTACGAATGAACGATCACACTTAATTTTACCTCATTCCTAGAAATTAGCGCACCTTGCTGGGTCTCCAATAACATTACTGCGAACCGGATATTCTGTAGGGTCCAAAACTCAGTACCGTAGTGCTGAACCTCGCATATTTCGTACGAACCAACGGTCCTAGAATCATTTCCTGCAACATAAGTAGAGAAGGAAGGCTTTTAGGAGTTTCGAACGCATTGATGTTATAAATCATAGCAATTTTATAGATCTGGTAACACTGCTATTGCATTGTAATTTGAGCGGCTTTTTTATTATTTCGCTTCACTTTTTACTTAAACTTACTTTTTATTATTTTCTGGCATTATATCAAGACAAATGCAAACTATACGCAAACATACACATGTATATGTAATATACGTGTATATCTGTGTGTGTGTAAGTAAGTTTCCCAAAAAGCAATCTCGCAGCTGTCCCACTTTCTATAGATCATAAACGGTAATTTACAATCGCAAATAAATTCCAAAGGCCAAGATGTGCGCAAAACAATATAACAAAACATGGCATGAGCACTTGAATGCATTTCACACGCATTTGTACACCTGCGTTGGTGTGCGTGCGCGTGTGCGCCTATTTACAAATATATACTAAGCCAGATTTCGCAATCGACTGCTGCTGCTGCTGACCTCATTTTCCCAAACTTGCAAAACGCCGAGCATCAACCATACAACCGCAGACGCTAAGACCGTCTCCACCAGCACCCGCCCCTCTTCACGCGCACACAGCGATGTCTCCTTTGCGATCGTACCACAAATCAGTAAAAATAGAAGCAATCCTTTGCAAGAAGTCCATTAAATAGCGAAACGCCGAGTAGAAATACACATGCACCAAACGGGCGAAAAAGTCTGTCTGTATGTGTATGTGTGTGTATAGTAAGCGTAGCTGTGGCAGTGCTAAAAAATAACACGAGCTGGTGGGGAGTGGTGGGCAGGCGATAAACTCAAAAAGATGGGCGCAAACAGATCGAAGCTGCACAGCAGCAAGATCGTCGATGAGTTGCTTGTCTTTCGTCGGGCAAAGCATTATCTCTGCCGTCGATTATGCATTCGTTTAGTCGTTCGCCTTTGACAGCGCTTCGCTACTGCACATATTCACATATATACATACATACATACATATGTTTTCACACACGCAGCGAAGCATCAGTTTTTGCCTTTATGCTTTTATTATTGGCTGACCTAATTTCTAGGCACAATGCAACAGCGATCGCTGTCAAGTGTTCGATGCTTGTTGTTGCTATTTGGGCAGTTCAATTGCATTTTCTGCTGAGACAGCGCTGCTGCAACTGCGCCGAGTGCGATGGGAGCGATCGCTGTGGCTGCTATTAAATTAAACGTGTGTTACAAATATAAATAATGTTTATATGCACTATGTGCATGTGTATGTATGTGTGAATATATAAAGGTCGCTATCAAATACTGCGCTTTGCTGCGCTGATAGGCGCAATTCATGTGATTTGTTGGCGTTACAAATAAAGAGCTGCACTACTGATGCATACATATTTACACACTTGCGGGTAGCGGCGGAGCCAAAGCGAAGGCATGACAGCCCTATTCGGCTGCAATAATGCCAGTTTTTAAGTTTGCGCAAGCAACCTAAAGCTCAAATGCGAACAAGTACCTTGGTTGTTTTTCTGCCGTCAGACACAGCAACGGACCGACGGCCCCTCGTGTTTACCTCTGTTTGCCTTGCGTTAGGCTGTCGCCACACAATCGTTACAAACTCTGACAATGGCAGAAGCAGAAAACAAAGCACATTAACGATCGCACACAAGCGCATTGCGCTCACATGTCTTTACGTGTGTGTGTGTTCATCGTTAAGCAAACAAGCCACGCACAAATCAGGTACTTCAACTTATTTTTATTGTTGTTACGCCATGACCATGAAGTAGTACATGCTCACGCACACATTCGCAGGTTTTGTGTATTTCAAAACTACTTCAAAACGCGCCAATTGAATAAAAGCACACACACGCATACACTCGCTGCAGTTGAGCGGTCGTATACAGTGAGCATTTTTCATAATTGTGCATGCATCTGCATATGTGTGTTTGCGATGTACTCAGATTAATTGTGCGTTGCATTTTACAAGCATTTGCCAACTTCAAATCAATACGGCTATCACACACAAACGATGAATGCGTAGGTCTTGCCTTGAAGTGCCCACAAGCCACTCCCACTTTATTAATTTCTATTATGCCTTACCACCAGTATGACATTGTACATTCACTAATTTTCAATTTTCCTCATCTCTTTCAGAGCACACCTTGCAAGCATCCAGTGATTCTGCTCCAGGATGTCAACTTTCTCGACCTACACTCGTTGGTGGAATTCATATATCACGGTGAGGTGAACGTGCATCAAAAATCTTTACAGTCCTTCCTTAAAACGGCAGAGGTACTTCGAGTCTCGGGTCTCACACAACAGCAGGCCGAGGAAACCCATAGTGTAAGTTTACATAATCATGCCACAAAGGTGATGTTTCCCATTTTCACAAGTACATTTATACTTGCACCCCACAGCAATTAGCTCAAATACAAAATCTGGCGAATGCTGCCAATGCCACACGCACTCCACTTAATTCACACCACACATTGCTCGATGAGCCGCCGCTATATCCACGCAACAGCGGCTCACCACCGCCACCTCCACAATCCCAACAGCTGCAAATGGCATCCACACACATCAACAGCCAGTTGTTTAAGCGCAGCATGGCGATGCTACGTCGCGAGAGGAACAACTCCACACCATCGGTCGAAGACTCGAATAATGCCATGAAGCGTTTGCGTGGACCCGACAACGGTTTGCCGTCTAGCAATAACAACAGTCCCGAAATTGTACATCAACGCAGCACATCACCGCAATTGACACCGGCCGATTTCTCAACCATCAAGCACAATAATAACAACACACCGCCGCTGAAGGAAGACAAACGTAAGTGTGTAGTTCAGACAGAGAGAGAGAGAGGTAGGAAATTGAGACTAAGTCTAACAAAACTCATGATTTTCAGGTAATGGACCATCTGGTAATAACGGCAATAGTGGCAATGTTAATTCGGACACTGGCAACGGAAACGGTATCGCAAATAATGACAAAGTGAGCGGTAGCTTAACTTCCTCACCGCTAACACGCACCGCCGATGATGTCAAATCGGAACCCATGGAACTAGTATGCTCGAATAATAATCCGACAGTAGTCGATGAGCACAGTAACGACTCCACTGGTGAGCATGAAGCGAACCGATCTAGCAGCGGCGATGGCGGCAAAGGTTCTTTAAGGTGAGTTAAAACGGCGACACAAATTTCTATTAACTTTAAGCTAAACGGCAATTTATACAAATAGTTCGGGAAACGATGAGGAGATTGATAACAACATGCCAACACATCCTCCACCACCATATCTGATGTCACCGGCAGAGAGCAAATTATTTTCACCGGCCGCCTTTAATTTTCCCATGAGCGGTCTAGATCCTGCCACGTTAGCTGGTAAGTGCAGTTTGAATGAAGGTTAGCACTGCACTAGAGCTTTCACACCAACCGAAAGCTTACCTTACACAAAAGCTCAATCTGGTGCTGTGAAACTTTTGAGCTTGCACTAAACAACCTTCCCTACGGAAATGTAAATTTTACAAAAGTTTCTAATTTCATTAACTTTCACTTGCAGGTTTTAACTCGCAACTACAGTCAGCCGCCGAAATATCAGTTTCTCCGCAAGGTGAGTACGCCGCTTCCATACATACTACTACTCGCTCTTTCCGAACATTTCAATTCAAATTCATTCCTTTACATTTTTACATCAAATGCAAATATTTCCCTAATTTAATTATGTTTTATTACATTTATAACTACGGAATTTTTTTTAGAAAATTGCAATAACCCATAAAATTCTTTTACATGATAATTACAGTTAATTTTTTTCATTAATTTAACTTTTGGTTTATTTATTTAATTTAAACCGACTTTGTGAGGAAAACTCGTAAGAGAGTAGGGGATCAGAAAAAAACAGAAACAATTTAAGAACTTCCAAAATAATTGGAAAAAGTGAAATATAAATTCAGAAAAAAATGGAAAATAAAAATGTCTGGAACGCAGTGGCTAAAGAAGTAATATACATTTTTTTTCTAAATTTTAAGGTGGCTACACGCTTCATTAATGCACCAATTCATGTCGTAGACTTTTACTGGATTTTCAATGCACATTTCCTAACAATTTCACCACTAATTTAAGCACTCTCTCGAAAACTCTCGAAGGAACCGAATGCATAGTGAATTTGTTCGACATAACTCATCGCTTTGGTGTTTAATTTTTCAATTCAACTTAATTTCCACATGCATACATATCCATCTATACGTACCACAGCATATGTATAAGCAGTTCCAAATGCCTCCAGCACACACTCACACTTCTTGTATGAGATTCAGTTGTTATTTGGTCCACGCTTCTGGAGCACTGCGTTCACCGGCATTTACTTACGGTTTCCAGCACTTTGAACTAAAACTAAGTTGATACATTTCATGAAATAAGATAATCTAAGTCGCTAAGTATTTGGTTGGTAACTGAAAAGAAAAAAAACAGAATTACGTAAACCGCAGAAAATTTCTTTCTTATTTGATTGTTTCGATGGTAAATACTCATTTCATTTGAATCCCCTTCATAAGCGTAGAATGGTAAAAGGACCATAGAGCCTAGAGTTAATAATTAAAACTAAAACAGTACACAACTGAAATCGGAAAGTGAAGAAGAGGAAGAGAAGCGAAGCCAAGCGCGTTTGAAAAACTCCCGAAATCCACGATTACAATGCAGAATAGCGCTGGCAAAGAAGCGAGCAATCAGTTGACTGTGTTAGAATTAATTAACCAGTTTGCCGCATTACAATAACAAAAGCAAAGCGAAATTTCCAGCAATAATAACCACATGCGCCACATCGATGATGGCAATAACTGGCAAACACTGCCGTACTTCAAATCTTAGCAGGCTGCCAACTGCTGCCGGCACCGCGCCACGCCCCAATATGCGCCTAAATCGCTCCAAATGTATACTACATATGTGCCTTGCCACAGGCTTATCAATTATTTAGCGCGCACTTGCCGCTCGTCACTCGCTAGCTTAGAGCGCCAGCAGACAGCCGCGTCAACACGCGTTGATGCCACAACGGGCTGCCTGTTTACTATCGCCTTCTGATTTCTAACAACTATCTGCTCTCCCAGTTAGCGTTAAGCGTGTGGGGAAATTTTAATTGATGCCTTTATGTTGCGGCCGACCTCAACAATTTGCCCCAACTGCGCGTGCGACATATACATGTGAGCGCGTGTGCGTGTGCGGCAACGCAAAAGTTTTGTCTATTTAAGTGATTGTGAAAATTTTGGCCGCCGACACACAAGCAAACACAAATGTGTTGCTGGTGAAAGTGTAAAATAGAGATTACGCATGTTTCATGCGTGTTTATGTGCGCTCGATGCTGTGGCTTGCGGCTACTGGTGCTTTGCGCTTTACGCTTCACACTTGCCACACACTGGCAGCCGATTTGTGCAGACTTGTGGCATGTGTGGCGTGCCCTTTCGGCGGCGGCACCCAGCTGCAACGTCGACATTTGCTTTTATGTCTGCGTTAATCGGCGCAAAAGTGTTTAACTTTAATTTTGATTAGCCGCGCACACGCGCTCGCACACATGCACCGCCAGCTCCAACATATTTCAAAGCGTACGCACCAAATTTATTGCATACACACAGGCGTTTTAACGATTAATTAAGCTGTGGCAACACATAATAATTGCCGCGCAACAAGTTTCACACTTTCGGTGAATTTATTCAAGTTCATTTGTAGTTTATTTAGAAACCAACACACACACACAGACACATGCGCTTACGCCACCAGCGGCGCCAAAGCTGCACACATACATGTACGCGTGTGTTGCTGGATACTCGTTAAGTGTTGTGTGCTGTGTTGTTCTCATTGCTGTTCAAATGCCTCTGCTTCCAGTCCACTTCTTTGCTCATTCATGCCACATTCGCAAGGATCGTCTCCATGGTCATTTTACTGTAGGGTTTTAAAAGTGTAAAACACATTCTTCAAGAGATTTAAAAGTTGAGCCGTCCTCGTTGCATTCCGTTCACAAGAAGTATTAACGCGATGTCCTTGTTTAACATGCGGTTCGCAAGCGTTCCTCGGCGCTGAGACCAACGCCTCGCCGTATGTCAACGCAAACGTTTGTAGGGTACGCGCCAGCATTAGTAAAATCAATCTAAACAGAGAATGAAATTCGCAAACACAATATTGAAAATTCAACAACTATTCGAAGTTCGCGAGTTTCCAAAGCGAAAACATTTGCCCAGCAAGGCTGCTTCCCGCAAAAGCGCGGCAGCGGCGCCAGCGTTGAGTGAAAAGCCCAAATATATATTTTCCGTGATATTTGTTTTTGTGTGCTAATTTTGTATTCGTATTTTATGGAAATATAAAGAAATGAAAATTTTCTCTTCTTACTTACTCATTCATATTCGTACGTGCCTAAGAGTAAATATAAATATTTGTGATATTTTCGACATTTTTTGTTGTCTATGTTTTCGTTATGTTGCCAATTTTTTACTAACTGTAATTGCATACTTTTGTGTTCTGTACAAACATGCGCACACGCATACATACACACATATATTGTTTTGAATGTTTAGTTTCGCAACATTACACGTATCCCGCCTATTTTGTATTCCACTAGATTTACATACATAAATATATGTTCGTATAAATTGAGCAGGCCAACAAAAAGGCGCCAAATTAATTAGAAAAACTTTTCATTTATGTAAACTCCTTTAACTTTTTATTTTTCGATGTTTGAACTGAAAAGCGCTTCTTCGAAGCCATGAATCAAGTGTGTTTCAAATTTCGTTTGAAATAAGTGTGATATTTGTTACCATTTTGCTTTGAATTTCACACACACACACACACGAAATCACCCACTTTTAACTATTTACAATGGAAATTTTTCGTCATGTATGTGTGTTTTAATCAGTATATAATTGCTATAGAAAACTATGTGTCAGCAGAGAACACGCATTTTGATTTCGAAATTATTACAAATGCAATACTGAACGTTTATTAACCCTAAGGTTATGCCTGAAAATATATACTTGTTATTCTAAATGTTTTGTTTGTTATTTAAAAGTGAAGTGTAATGAAGAGGGAAGGCGCCGGCCCTAAGAAAGCCGCACTTCCCATTAACACGTACAGCTTCATTGTACAGTGATCGCCTTTTGAGTTTCATACATGTTTTTAATATTCAATACTTTTCGTTTTTTTTGCTTTTTTTTTGCTTTCAATCATCACGCATACAAATTTACGTTGTGATTTAATTCAGTGTTGCAATTTGATGGTAACATCCTGCTCCCTAACAACTAACTCAAAGACATTAACTGTTCTTGTGCAATTTATGTTATATATGGTAAATAAATGCATACATATATATATATGAAATACTTACAAACTTACATACATATGTACGTGTGTGTATGGCGAACACTCGAACAGGTCGTATGAACCACCCCAATGTGTGCAAATCGGCGCGCACTTATTTTTGTACGAATACAAGAGAGAGCACAGCTCATAAAAACGACAAAAACAAAAACAAGAGAAAAAATTGGTTAATTTTTTTTGGAATATAATTTCTTTTTTATTAAATTAATTGTTTGCAAACCCAAAAGTTATAAATATTGGCTGTAAACTGAAGCAAGCGTGTTAGAGTGAAGGACCAGCTAACCTTGCATTCCCCCACGTCGACGCGCCAAACCGCCCCGAAAAATTGGCACTCGAAAATATTTATCGATGCATTTCCTTGCTCGAAACCGTTAACCCGCCGGCGGTAAACAAAAACAAACCAAGCAATTGTTATTAACCACACACCCGCACAAACACGAACACATACATATGCATATACACCTATAAATTAAAAAAACTGCTCCGCAACAAAAAGTGCAGTTAACGCAAAAATAAAAACAAAAAAAAACACAAAATTAAATTATGCAACAATTGCTGTTGAAAGTGAAACCCCTCGAAGATCCACGTTCACACGCACTCACACTTGCTCTTTACTAACACGCACTCTCAGGGTCCATGCCAACTCACTAACCCACTCACTCACCCACTCTTAACTACTCACACAAGCACACACAATTAACCACACCTGTGAATGGATTTCCAACATTCACTCACATCACACCGAACGTTTGCTTTAAGCTCCTTACTAACCACTACAACAATAATAACAACAATAACAAACAACTAACAGCAAATTAAGAGGAAAGCCATGTGCCACACTACTTTACTAATCAAATGTTGCGCTTAATTGGATGACTAATCATGAAGCCGTGAATATGAATTACAAAAACAAAGAGTATACTTTTTATCAAAACATTCAGGCAAAGATATAGAAACACCCACACACATACATAGTCCATTCTATTAAAGTTTATGATTAATGACAGCAGCATACACAAACAAAGTACATATTATTTAAGCTATGGAAATTACATAATTACATACACACGCATACATATATGATTGGTGGAGTTAAGAGATATTATATATATTTTCTGTAGATTTAAGTTTCGAAATTCCCACGACAAAATTGTAAAAATTAAATTTTAAGTTATGATTAAGTATTTGCATTTCGAATTGGAAGCTATTGTACACATAAAGTAATAAATTTAAGCGAAAATCACAAGAAAA